CTTGCCTAAGTATTACTTGTCTGATAAAGTCAAAGAAAAGTAATTAAGAGAAAATGACATGCAATGGATTGCAGCAAATGCAGAGTAACTAAATATTCAAAAATCATTAATGACAAAAGGTGCTCTATCATCGAGATTGGAAAATTCATATAAGAAGAGCCTACTCATTGATTAGGGAAATTTAAATTAAGAAAGTGATAAATATTATAATTATTTCTGACACATAAATCCTAGAAAAAAAAAGACTATGCTATCACTCTTAGATGCCTATGTTGATAACTTGACTTAAGATGAAAACAAGCTGTTTTAAGATGCCCTATCAATGTACTTTGATAATACTTATTAAGGGAAGGACATGGAAGCCTTGAGTTGCGAAGAAAAGGATTTTCCAGAACCATTATTGTGGCATATCTATAGCTTAATGATATTCGATAGATTGAGCAGTGATTATGCTAAATATGAATATTTGGATTAATTCGGTGCTATCGAATATTTTCATAAACGAGATAAGGTATCAATAAATTTGATATATTAAATTTTAGTTTAAAATGAATCGAGTGAAGTACGTATTTGCTTTTCATCAAACTTAACTAATTTCATTGGCCTAGTTGTTTGCTATAAGTAGAATGCTCCAAGGGATAGAATAAAATAATTACGAGTATCTTAAATATGCTGCCAAGTTCTTAATTTAATCTAACATATAAAGAGTTTTCATTGTAATTTATTCAATATATTATTTTTTAGAAAGTGTTGAGGAATCATTAATATATCACACCAAATATTTACCAAATCTTTTTAAGGCTGTGACTATGAACTAGGTTTAAATAACCAAGAAGAATATATTGAAACTCTAGGTACTTGGTTGACATTTGATTGCGACAATCATAAAGGAATGGTATAAATTTTATTCATATGTTTAGGAAATTGGTATTATGACTTATACTTATAATTATAAGGTCAATTGAATTAACCTTATAATAGTTTAAAAGTATATTTCTAAAGCAAAATTAGATGAGAATGAAGATTGTAAATAAATTTTAGAATTATATCAATAAGCTTTAGATTATAGTAAAAACTTAAGAGATTTATATACTTATATTTTGTTATTGAAAGATGAATCAAATTGATATTGTATTCTTAAAATTTCCTAAATGATCTTGAAGTATTTCCATTTGCAATTAATTAGAATCATTTTTAGATTAACAAAAATAATTAAAGAAATATATTGCAATTTTACACATTTAAATTTAGATTTTAATTAAAGTGTAAAGATAAATATAATCAATATTAGATAGAACTCTGTATATATGAAATAGATATAAAGAATAATATAATGTATATTTTTTAATTTGATTTGTTTATATCATTATGTTATGGAACCTTTTTCATGAAATAAATTTTATAAGTTACGATTTTCTTGATTAAAAAATATAGAACCTTTAATACTACATGAATCTGCTAAAATTAAAGGATATAAAGTAAAGCTTTAGAAGCATTTTGGTTAATTCTAATTTTAATCTAATCTATAAAATAAAATTGACCCATTTTTCATTCCTAAAATAATGTTTTAACTACATGGAGTAAATGTGGCACAATTAATTTATGTATTAAATTGATCTAAACAATATATCAATTTCCCATCTTTTTATTTAATAATTTCTATTTTATTTTTCTTTATATGCAATTTATATTCTGAAGTCTCTTCTATTAAATAATTATATTTTATATCCTCAATCAAAAATTAACAGTATTCAACATAATCTGAAATATTATCTGCTATTAAATCATTATTACTGAGAATTTTTTATATATAAATTTGATTTTCATATTCTTAAAATGAAATGCTAATTACTTCCTATTAATTTGGCTGGTAATTTTGATTTACTTTAAGCTTAATTTTTCTTAAATCAGACAAATCCCATAGAATAATGCTCATATCATAACCAATGGATACTAATAAATTTCCATCTTTATAAAAACGTAATAAATGAGGATTAAAAAATGTAAATTAATTTGGTTCTAATATTGCAATTTATTATTTAGATTTAATATCAAATAAAGAGAAATAAAAATTATTTTGTAAAGCTAAGATCTGTCTTTTATCACAATATGCACAATTAAAACAATCTCTACTAGTTTTTGTTTCCAACAATATTTAAAATTATTCATAATCAGAAACATATGTTGCTAATATTACAATCTTTTTAAGAGGCTCAATAAAAGAATATATAATGAGAAAATTATCATTTTCAACAGGAAAACATTAAGCTTAATCAAATTATTATTCATCCATTTCATCAGGTTTATTTAGCTTGAACTCTTTAATAATTTTGTATTAATTGGTTACGTCTAAACATCTAATAGTAACATTGTAATTAGTAAATAGTATTTTATTATCTCCTGAAAATACTAAATTCTATGTACATCCAATATC